AGAATGTATTTGTATTATTTCTGTGTCTCTCTTCATTTATTTTTTTTTTCATTTCTGTGTTTCTGGTATGTAAATTTCTTTAAAGAATGACTTAATACTTGTGTTCACATCTTCTGGAAAAGTAAATAAAGGTAGATCAGCTTACCCCATTGTGTCTGGTTTAAGAATGTGAAGTATTAAGTAAGTTGAATATTTGCTTTTGTGATAACGATATACTTACCTAGACAGGAATTTAACAGATTCATCTTGCTGTTTGCATCAAATTAATAACTCACAATATAAAATACACCGAGCTGTATGCTTAGTCTGAACTTGACTTTGTTTCCAGCTGACAGTTTAACTACTGGGAATATCTCATTGTTTGTTTGGTTTTTTTTCCTGTTGTAGATTTATTTCTATGCAACTTACATTTTTGAACAAGCTGGGATCTCAGCAGAAAAAATCCCGTATGTGACACTTGGCACTGGAGCCTGTGAATGCCTCACAGCCCTCACCTGTGTAAGTCACAGCTTATTCTACTTTCTAGCATAAAGAGTAATGATTCTTCTTGAAGAACATTGGTAAATATGAGGTCAATATAGTAACAGAAAATTATGTCTTATCGACAGGGTTTACTGATAGACTACGTGGGAAGAAGATACCTCATCATTGGGGGTTATCTCCTTATGACCCTGTGGAGCATTGTTTTAACGTTCTCTCTGACTTACCAGGTATAAAGAAGGACTCGTATATTACATGAACTGACTCTAACGAGTGAAAATGTGACACTCAAAAGAAGCTGGAAGATAAGAGCTGCATAGGTTTAAAGAGCAGCATAAAAAATGACAGGAATTGAAAGATCTAATCAATTCTGCAGCCATATTTCCCTAAAATAAGAGAATGCTCTCTGCTAAGATTGGATCATGTATTTGTCTTAAAGCTGCAGCTGTGTTTAACGCTGCCAAAACAAAGTGATGACAAAACAGAGTTTATTCCAGCTTTTAAAGTAATTTTAGGATGAAATACTACATAGTGATATTAAGCATCAGGGTCCACTTCAGTCACTTAACTGTAAAGCAAACAGTCGAACAAAAAATACTGTAAAGACATTGAAATTCAAAAGACACTTAAATCCATTAGTGTAAATTCACAAAGACTTTTGGAAACTCACTAGAGATATTCACAGTGCCTTGAATTTATTATGCGAAGGCAGCAGCTGCCTCGCTTTTTGATGTAGTGTAACGAGATGCATTGCAAACTGTTCTGTGTACTGTGTCAGCGCAACTAAGGCAGCCCCACTGACCTCCTAAAATGAAAGTTTAGAGAAAATCTGTCTCTACGTTTTCAGACTGTACTATACATAATCCAAGCAAGATGATGTAGGTGTAAGCTCCAAAGGTGAGCAACTCCATTCAGTCAGTGGTTGGCTGCCTGATCAACCCTTATCTGCCAAAGGTAGGAGGAAAGAGCTACGATTCTTTCCTGTCCACACCATGTGTCTGGGGCTGCCTTTGGACAGGTGGATCACGTGCAGTCATTGCAGGTCTGATGTCTGGAGGGACAGCAGGATTAGGGGCTGCAGATCAGCCAGCAGGCCACAGAAGAGGCACCTATGGTAATTTGTGTGGTTGGAGTAAAGTAAGCTGCTAGGCCAGACAAAAAGTTGAATGAGCTAGCTGCCAGGCAGAGGCCTAGGTTTAATTATTTTATTGTTATTTTTGTAAATTTCTTGGTTTGAGATTTCAAACTTAGGTTTAGTCTTTCTAATGCACCTAGTTTCATATGTATGCAGTAATCCTAATGTTTCTTTACTGCACTATTGAAATGGATGTGTACATAAATACTGTGAATAGAAGTCTGTTCATGCTGTGAAAGTGCCTGAGGACAGCTAACTCACCTGATGACTATCAAATGCCAACATACACACTGACAAAATGTTCAACTAGTAACAACACCTAATTGTTCTGTTCAATATTGGTGTGAAGTTTTAGTCTTGGAGGACAAATTATAAATCTCGATGGAAGTACTAGACTCCATTTAGTAAAAATTATTAAATGAACAATATTTAATTTCTCTGAAGCAGTACTGATAAATAAATTAGCTGTAAACAGCCATAAATGACTGCTGGTCTTAGCTGCAGTAAAATAGCAAAAGGAAATGTAACTGGTAAGCTGAACTTTAAAACTGGATTATCGAAATCTGAACGAAACCTTCTCATTCTCTTCTCTCCCAGGAACTGTACTCCTGGGTGCCGTACGTGAGCATGGCGTCGATATTTGCGTTCATCTTGAGCTTCGGCTTGGGCCCAGGTATGACACAGTGACGCACGGTTTGAAGTGGAGAAACGCTGCCCGGGGCCGGGGCAGGGGAACTGGCTGTGCCAGGCAGCAAGTGCTTAACGTCAGGCTGCTGCTGCCCGGGCTGAGGTCTCGTCGCAGCAGTTTCGTCTCCCAGAGCCTGAAACTGAGCAACTCAATTTTTCTGCTGTTGGAAATGCTGCAAATGGACTTCCAGCGTCATAACCGATGCTGTTTCTGAAACTCATTCCCCCAGGTGGCATAACAAATACCCTGATAGCTGAATTATTTATACAGTCTTCACGTCCTGCTGCTTACATGATAGGAGGAACTATTAGTTGGATTAGTTTCTTCACAATTGGAATGCTCTTCCCCTTCATAGTGGTAAGTACACACAACACATTTTCCTAATTGCCTCACCTCCCATTTAATCTTCCGGCTTTTTCTTGCGCAGTAATACATAAAGCGTAGGATGCACCCTACCCTTCAACCAAATATAGCTAGATTCAGGCACTCTTGAAGTATTTTTTAGGTATCAACAAAAAATAATGATATTTAATAATAAATAAATAATAAATGAAAATTAAAAGGAATGCATGGGGGTAATTTTCATGTTCAGATTGAAAAAATGGAGAAGGTATCAAAACTAGAAAAACTTAGATATTGAGATTCAAATAACATTTCTTAATAGTGCCTTGTGCTTTTGTGTCAAAGTAAAGTAGTAGTAGTATCTGGGGCTAGTGGTTCACATCTCTTAGAGCTTGCTAAACTTAGAGACAGAGGCTTCTGTGATCAGGATTATTAGGAAAAACAACATAGGCTTTCATATCTAGCTTTGTATTTTCAGTTTTGGCACTTATTCTTGAAGGCAGAACATGCAGGAACAGCACGCAGCAGGGTATCTTCGATTTGACAGTCCTTGGTTTAACTATGTTTCTCAATAAGACAGTTGGGTATTTTTTAGTGTATAGCATTGAAAAACATTAATAAACATTCAGAAAAAAGATAAATCATATAATCTTAAAACATATGACAGCCAAGTAGCAAATGCTGACTTGTCATTACATTGTGAACTGTTTAGTTTGTATGTTTAAATGGTTTATCTTTTTAATAAAAAAAGTGCTGTGTATTGCATAGCACTCTGGTCTTTTATCTGAAAAAAAATAGGTTTTTTTAAAAAAGTTACATGTAAAGTAAGGCTAGGTTGAACGTCTTTTTATTAAAAATGTCTGAGCAGCAATGTTAGGTGTGAATGGTTACAGAAAGCTCTTTATTTTGCCAAACCACTGTTACACTCGAAATACACACTTTATTTTCAGAATGGACTGAAGCAGTATTGTTTTCTGGTGTTCTTACTGGAGTGCTCCTTAGTTGCTGCTTTCATCTTCCTCGTAATTCCTGAGACAAAGAACAAATCTTTTCTGGAAATCGAAAAGGAATTTCACAAACTTAATTTTGGAAGAAATACTAAAAAAAAGGAAACAGAGCTCTATGAAAGAAGACAGCTCCATGATGAATTTTAACAAAAAAAAAAAATTCACGTAATTTCACAGCTGTAACAGAACTTTTATACAGCCTCTTCTAAATTAAGCTACTTGTTCATGCTATTACACTGCTATTAAATCCTGTGTATTTAGAGGAAGTTTAATTAAAAGCAAGCTAATCTTTCTGAAATGCTGTTAAAACATAGGTTGCTGAAATGCTATTGAAACCATTTCTCTTACACATAGAAGACTCGATGTTTAGATGCAACTTGGTGTTGTAGGGACGCAGAAATGCCAGGAGAGGGTGTTCAATGAATTGCTCCCCACTAGCAGATTTCTTCAGATAATTCAGTAGCTCTTCTTGTACTTCTAAGCCACTTCTTCAGATTCAGGTCTTCAGGTCTATTGCTTTACTGAATGAAATATTCGGAGGTGTAAAACCCAAACAAGAACTGACCCACTGAGAAACCGATACTCAGAATATGCCAGTTTATATATAAATTGGGGTATTTAGTTGCCATTTACCACTTAAATAACTTATTTGAAAGATTTAAGGACATTCCTCCTCTAGTCCTACTACCGTAACTGTGCAAAGACAGCATAGCATCTATCTGAATTATTTGTAGTAAAGTTTATTAGAAAGACTTGTTTCCTAAAAGGATACTAATAAAACAGTTTCTGGGGTTTGAGTTTGGGTTTCTTTTTTTGCCCTAATCTAGCATCTTAACATTTTAAACGGCAACAGGGTAAAACCTCTTCTAGTTTTTGAAGGTCAATTCCCAGCAGACTGAGATCAACATCACAAAAAGCAGAGAGGACAGATGATAGGAATTAAATACATTTCACTTTTAAAGATTTTTCAAGATGGTCTGATAGAACACAGACAAGGAGACTACAGAGAGCTTGAAGGACCTCCTGAATGAGCTTTCTGCTTCATCTCCAACATTTCGTCCAGGACTCTCTCTCAAAATAAGTGATTCATATTTTAGTAGTCAAAAAGTAAGAAATCTTAGTGACATCCAGTGTTTGTGTGCCTCTCTGACACTCCTTTCCATACCTGTAACGCTAGGACAGGAGTCATACCTGGCCTGGTAACTTTTCCTGGTTAGAAGCATTTCCTGATTCCATCTGTTACTTAATAAGTGCTACCATAAGCACTGGATTTCTTTTACATTTCTCTTCCTTCTCTCAGAAGTGAAGCTTTTAATGAAAATGTAGGAAGCAAACACCATTTTTCTGATTTTGGTAACTAAATCAGCTGTTTAATTGAAAACAACATTAACTCTTAATGGTAAAGGAGGCAGTATCAGGAAGGGATCTTCTTGTTCTTTAGTTTATCCTCTAAGTTTGCAAAATATTTCATTTTGGCTAAAAGCTTCTTAGCTTCCTGAAGATCATCTGAAATGAAATAAAACATTACTAATTTACACACGGAGGGCTGAATTTTTATTTTCAAAATGAATCTGAAGATTTCAGTGACAGCATCTGTTTCAGTACTAAGAACTGCAAATTGTGAGGACCCATGCACTATTAAAACCAGGTCGCCTTTTATTTTCCTCTTGGATGGTTTTGGAACACCTCAACTGAGGTGTTCCACAAAACATGTAAAAATGGAAAATTTAGTAAAGACGTGACATGAATATCCTTTAACGACTTTTCTGTAAAGTGGCTATAATATTGATGTAGCCACTGGGGAATTTTAAGTATATAGATAAGACAAACTTTTAAAAATTTTTAATGTATGTAATTGGACCAACTACCATCACTGAAAAACGCAAAAGATCTGTAGGACTCCGGTATGGATAGTGTCAATCCCAAACGGATATTGAAACAGTTTATCCTTAATTAAAACTGGAGGTGACGGGTGGTTTGTCACTCCTGCCCAGGACAGATAAACACAATCCCTAACTTTCGTAGTACAAAGAGCGACAGATTACACGGTTGTAACTCTCCACGTGCGGCGTAGCCAGCACTACTCTGCGTTTCATGTTTTACAATCCCAACTCACGGCTACGTAAACCTGACAAGAAAAGCATTCCAAGAGCCAGGGGAGAAAAAACGTTTCTTCCCAGAGTGAGAAGCTAGTCTGGAATGGTTCAAGCTCCTGCCTGTCAACTGGCTGTGGAACAAAGTTATGGTGATTATTCCACAGAAGTCCCTAAAACCTGAGGCTAGATGAGGCATTGGTTCTTCTCTCGCCGAACAGCTTCAGTGGTAAGCAGCAGCATTGTTCTGTCCTGACGTTCACTGCGCTCGCTGCCCTGATGACAGCTTCAAGCCTGCAGAGCAATATCTCCCAAATTCAAGTTTGCAACTTCAGAATAGGTGGCAAGTTTGATTAAGGAAAGAGGCTGTCCTTCCCATCATTCTGGGAAACAAACAAAAAGTTCTCAGCATCTGCATTCCCACTTGAAATAATCATTTGATGCAAATTGAATTAATTGGAACTTTTGTACTAGGTTATTTATTTTTTTTTAATTTAATGTGAGGTCCTGAATTTCCTGAATCAGCAGAAAGGTCAGCTTAGAAGTATTTCTTCTAAATACTAAACAAAGAGCACTTGTTTATGCAGTACTTCTGTTCTGTAGTTCAGGAAATACTTGTCAAGAAGAGAATGTGGGTTTTCTAAGTGTTTGTTTATAAATGATATGTATGGCAGCTAAATACTTCATAGAAATAGCTACCTCTTTCAAAAGCTGCAGTCACCTCTTTGGTCAGTTCTTCTTGTTTAACTGTAAAACAAATTATTTCATTCACATTTTGTTACATACTTAGTATATTTAATACCACTGCATTCTGATTGTTGCTGGCAGGAAACTTAATGACTAGTCTCACAGCCTTTTAGGAGCTACAAGAGCTTTCCATAATATTGCTGTCAGTATTTTTCTTTTCAAACAGACACATTTCTTTGTTTAAACAAGTTTACAGACAGCAATTCCAATGCAAATCAATGGTCACTAATTTCCCGCAAATCTACCTTAATTTTCTTCTATTATACTTAGTGTTTATTCTAGTTATTGTAATTGCTTTTGGTATACTACTGTTATTGCAAAGAATTAAATATCCCAATAAACTCAATGTTTTGGGTATCACCAACAATATAGACAAAGTTGCTTGTATACGGATAATAATCACTTAATATAATGGCTGCTAAGTTGAAGAAGGTGAAAGAAATACAACATCTGTATAAACGAAGAGATTATTTAATGTGGTCAGTCAAGCATTTTATTAAACTTCATTTTGAGTGGTTCCTTCTTTTAGAACAGTCTCCTTGCCCTGATCTGCTGAAGGTTGAGTAAGAAGTTCCTTTTTATAGTCTCTCTATATACACACACCTATTTTGCCATCGGAACAGGTACTGTTACGGATTTTCTGAAGCCCCATTTGATGTTGAGGTGGCATAAATTGGTAAAGACAACATTTTTTTGGGGGGACTCTCTTGCAATGAGTCGATTCAAGACCAATGCAAGTTAAAGACACTGAAAAAGCCTTCAGAGAGACTCTCATATTATACAAGATACAGTAAATATAGTTCTGTACAAAACCCTGAAATAATAACCTACCTTTAATTAAAGTTTCAATTTCTTCAAGGATCTCCTCACTTTTAGGGTCTGCTAATTTCTCATTAATTTCCATGATTTCCATGAGAAACACTGAATCTACATCACAGTCTGTCTCTTGTGCCGGCTCTATGCCATTCAGCTCCAGCTGGTGAAGAAAATGGGAATTTGGAAATACACATTCTTACATCTAATTCAATGTGAATTATTTTCTTGAATATTAAGTCTTTAGTAGGGCTCACTGAGATTCATATCTGATAAACTTCCAGGTGAAATGTGCATAAACAGAGTCAGAAAATTAACTCCATCGGTAGACCATAAAAATCAGCAGTTAACTAAAGCAAAAAAAAAAAGTAACAAATGCTGCCAAGAGCCAGACTAAAACTTCACAGGAACAGCCGTGGTCAAACACGATGTGTGATGCAGGAAACAAATTAGTGTAAGATGAGCAGCAAAGACATGGCAATAATCAGTAAAACGCTAAAGAAGACAGTGGGAAAGCTGACTGATTTTCAGACCAGCTTGGGTTTGGTGTCCCGTCAGTGCCCGGCAGCCCTCTGCC